TGAAGAGGGCGGTGCAATCCCACTGCTTAATTAGTAATGTCAGAAAAATGTGTCCTGATACTACTCTTATTTATTTATTTTTTAAAAATAACAGATGCCTAATCACATTTAATTAAGAGAATCCTTTTTGCCTCACTAAAATCCTTTCATCGCCTGTTTTCCTATCTCACACTTATTCTGTCATTTTTAATTTTGTGTTCTTGCCACTAATATGCAGCTTCCTTATCCACCCATGTCATCTACCCATTTCCTCCAGGAAAGCACAGCACAGTCCAAGTCTCTCGCTAATAACACCATCTGAACAACCTATTATGAGATTCTTAATTTGGCAGACAGGCTACATTATTTATGCAGGGCTGATAAGGCACAAAACACACGGTTGGATTTCCTGAGGAATTTTACTCTCTAACACCTCCACAAGGCTGGATCTTTTAAGCAGTATGTTCCATTTGTTACTAAGGTTTCTTTGTTCCTTTAATGTTTTGGAAAATGGTACAAATAATTGGAAAGCAGATAACATGTTTGTGGCTTTAGAGCATTCAGAATATTCTGAAGGTTCAAGTAATATAATCAAATGCTTATGGTTTCATGCCAACAGTTTGAGCATCTTTCTTACTCAGAAGTAAGATTGAAATAATAATCCATCCTATTTTCCCCTTCTAGTCTTTTTGTTCCCTATAGATTGTCCAGGAAAGTTTGAATCCTAAACATCCTAGAATTTTTCTCCAGAAGGCACAATTCTTACTTTTATTCCATCTGTTTGCAGACATAGATATGTCTCTTAGAATTACCATGAGAAACAAATTGTGATTCTACCTCCCCCCACTCCCTTTTCCCTCTGTTAATCACCATACTGTTATTTTTGTCTATGTAGTTTTTTGTTGTTTTGCTTAATCACTTCACAAAATATACTTTTTTTCCCCCTTAGTGTAATAACGAGCATTTTTCTGCTTCTATTCACTAATCTAATTATCAGTTATGGTTATAGTTGATCATTCTGTTGGATAAGCTACAACCTCACTAATATAAATGCTTACATTGGTACATGGCTAATCCACTTAACACACTTTTCATTAAGACACATTTACTTTATGAATTTTTTTTTTTATCCTCACCCAAGGGCATTTTTTGTTCACATAGAGTGGGAAGGAGAGAGAGAGAGAGAGAGAGAGAGAGAGAGAGAGAGAGAGAGAGAGAGAGAGAGAAACATCGACATGAAAGGGACACATCGAGTGGCTGCCACCCACACAACCAACCAGGGCCGGGGACAAACTACAACCGAGGTACGTGCCCTTAGTGGTAACCGAACCCAGGTCTTTCCGGACCGCAGGCCGAAGCTCTAACCGCTGAGCCAAACTGGCCAGGGCTCTATTTAATTTTTAATAAAATATTTCAAACTAGCAACAAATAAGACAATATTGCCCCATGTATTTGTTCCCCATATTTAACAGATTTTAACATTGTGTCATTTTTTTCATCTGATCTCTTTCTTTCTCAAAATAAAATAATATAGACACACCTAAATCCTAATTCTTTCATCCATTTTGGTTCTCCTTAAAGATAATCACTACCCAGGAGTTGGAATGTCTCATTTCCATATATATTTTTATTCCTTTTTAAAATTTGTATCTGAATTTATAAATAATACTTATTGCTGTGTTTTCTATATAGTATTCTATGTGTCTCTTTTGTAATTTTCTTGATTGTTTTCACTTGACATTATGTTTTTGAAATTTATGCACACTGACATATTTTAGGACCATATAGTAATTCAAGGTGGGAATAAACTCTATCCCTTCCAGCTGGGTTATTTCCTTTTTACATTTTTTAGTACTGCGGTGAACAGTTTTGCTCGTCTGGTTTAGAGACATTCAGAGCATCAGGGATAGGGAATTTCACTGCAAGAGACTGTCTTCTATCTGCAGAAAAAGCAAAAACGATTCTCTGCACACCTGTTTCTGCTTGAATCTGCTACTTGAATTTCATTCCATGTATACCTTGGTTACTTATGTCCAAATTAAACTTTGTCTGCTTAAAATGAAGACATTCAATTGAGTGCTGTACTGCTACTCTAAGTGCTTAGGATGATAACCATGGAAAATGACTTTTCTAAAAGTCAAGGCTTTATAGCATTGTAGAAAGACATCTACTAAGTTCAGTTCACTGTGTTAGGTAATGTATTTTTATATATTTATACTCTACTTGACTTACAGTGTTGTAAAAGCAAGAAGAAAACCCGTTTCTCTCCTACTCGAGTTGTGATTTGCTAATATGTTGCATCAGTAAAATGTGTACCCATTTCTTAGGATCCGTGATAAAGCCAAGGCTTTACATTATTTACTTGAAAGAGAGAAAGCTATTTGTTTGTGAAAGTCATTTAAAGGACTTAGAAAAATAAACTAGCTTGAGGCAATTTTATACCATTTATTAAGGTTGATCATAACAGGAATAAAAATTGAACAATTTATCATTGGATAAATTTAAAATTTAATCCAACTACATTCTTATGCATTAAAGCACTTACAAATGCATTTCATCTGCACATTACACTGGCTGGCTGTGGTTGGTGTGAGGAGGGCTGCTGGGAACCCAGGAGGATGGACCTACCTCTCCCTGTGCTCATAGAGAGCGGCTCTCTACCCAGCGGTCTGGAGGGCTGTCAGTGAGTATTTCTCCCTGTAAATATGGCCTTTGAGTGAATGATATGGGAGAGTTTTGACTGCAGTAATTGACTCACCATTCATCTTGTAGTTCAACCACCTTTTATTATCCTGTGATCCTGCTATATATACTCCGTCCTTTCCTCTGCACTTCAGAATGTAGGTTTGTGTGGGAACTGGAGACATTTGGCAGTGTATCCTTCGTTATGTAAACAGAAAAGTCATTGATGACCTTAATCCAATCTGGAATAATAATTCTTGAAAGACAAACTTTTAATTAAAGGCAATCACTTCTGCCATATGGGAAGATATTCTTTAAGCTGTGATGCATGTAACCCATATGAGGCTAAGAAGTTTTATGGCATAAAATAAATACCATGAGGAAGGGGAGAATGGAGTTCATAGTTCCCCTGATACTGAGGCACCAACAGGCAACAAGTTTCCTTTATCCCTGGATAACTGTACTGAATTAACTATGGTTTTAAGATTTTAGTTATTGTAGGAAAGAAGACTCTCTTGGTGATTACATCTGTGGTTTCCTAGAATATATCTAAGGCATAAGAGAACTTAAAAAATATTTAGGATGTCATCAACTCCCTCCTACAGGCAAACTAATTACAAATCCATTGATTTATTAGAACCCCAGAGTACTAAGAATGAATTCTTTTATTGCAATACTGACTATATCCATGCAAAGCATACTTAGTAAGGTGAGACAAGTGTCTGCCTTCACAAATGATGGACTCCAGGCAGAACTTATTTATCAAAGCCTTCTTAGGCACATTTTATTAAAGATTCCTAAGAAACAGTAGCATGGGCACATATTTAGTTACTAAATACCTATATTTTCAGTATTTTATGCATAGGTCTTATTATATAAAATCCTTGCATTGAGACAAATATTGTAGCCTTTACATTAAATATCATTCTTTCCAAGAAGACCAAGTTCAACAGGAGTCATTTGTCAGCTTTGGCATCTTAATTACTCAGCCTCATGGATTCTTCATGGTTTACAGCTGGATGTGTTCTGACTTGACAGATGAGCTTAGTGTCTCATTGTTGCCTCATTTTTGGTCATCATAGGAAGCTATAACTGTCAAATTTTCAATTAGTTGTCAGAGTTAAAGAACTCACCTTGATGGTGCTAGGTAGAATCATCCTACTGAGGATTTAATGTGTAAACACATGTAAAATGCTTAAAACTGCCTGACGCTGAGTAAATGTTAGCTGTTATTAGAATTATTTGATATTTTGAATGATTCCCAAAACAATGAATGAGTCAGATCAATGAAGTACATTTTAAATAAGACTGTAAGAAAAATATTCCCCAAACTGAGTCTGCTACCTCAGAGTGGGTAGAATAATTTTATAATCCCAGACAAGCAATGACGCAGAAATGCTTTTCTTTCTACAACTATAGATGTGTGTCTGAATTGCTCTGATAGCAAAGCAAAACAAACACATTTGTTCATCCCCCAGTGGCTGGCAATCCGTGAGTGGTGAGTGAAGATGTGTTTTGGTTTTGGAAGTTGTAGGATAATGGAGTTTCTAGCTCAGCAGTTTTATTTCAGAGACCCTGTTCAATTTGCACATGTAAGAATAGTCCTTCTACTGAATCCCAGAGGGGCTTGATTTCAGCAGTCCCAGCGGCTCTATAGAAGTGCACAGAGGAGAGATTGTTCTAAGACATAAACTCTGTAAATGCCACAACATTCTAATGCAGCATGACCACTTCCTGGCTATTTTTCATGTTATATCTAGCCTTCTTAATACCAAGGGCCTTTTTGTAATGCCAAAGATACTTCTCCAAAAATACACAAGAATCATCTGCATTTGCTCATAGAATTCCTCTGCCTTGTAAAGGGCACTGGGTTGCAGGCAAGGACATCTTTCTGTCTTTTCTCTGAAACCCACTCACTCAGGACACTGTAGTTTCCCTAATTAATTTATGTGAATGCCTCATGGGGCTTCCTTCATACTTTCAAAGCCTGAAAATTTATTAAGCTTTTAAATATCAGCTGTCCTGCTCCCTGATATTTTATATACTATGTGGGAGAATATTTAGATTACCAATACTTTCTTATGATCAGCCCTATCCAGCCGTAAGTGGGTGTCAATTTTCTCTTTAGTGGATCATTGCCTTTCCAGGCTTCTATTAGTTGACTTTTACTAGAGGAGGACTTGCTTCCCTATTGCAGTTTTAATCATCACCACCACAGCTCTTATTATCCCCTGTCTGGCTCTCTCATCTCTAATTGACTTCTTTCTTCCCTTTGCTCTCCCTTGTTCCTTTGTCTGTGGTTCTCTTTGCTCCATCACAAAAGGCTGCCATTTATAGACATGGAGAAGAGGAGCTATTTTTCTGTTTATGACAAGTGCACCGAGCACAGTGATCAGGTGCAGATCTTCATGGGCGCATTTTCTTCCCCAGCTTTCGAGGAGCTTTGGGGACATTGCTTCTGGGACAGAGCAGCCCTGGAAGAAGAGTGTGTGTTGCATAGCATAGGTGTTTGGATCTCTGTTACTGGGAGCAGAGATGGTGCCAAGGCTGGGACTGCAGGGTTTGGTGTGGTAACAGGCTAGAGTACACTGAGGTCAGGGGCTGAGTTTTCCGGAGATTGACGATATACTGAAATTAAGGAGAAGAGATGACAATCGGGGCAAAGAGGTATAGACGTTGAGATTACTCAGGATTCATGGCTCTCAGCAGCCAGTACAATGCAGAGTCAGGAAGTGCCCACAGTTTAGAAGCCTGCTGTGGGTGCTATCACAGAAGGGCACCTACATTCAAGACCTTAAATGGATCTTACTTTGGGATGGGCTCAGGGGCACAGCAGTAGCCTGGTGTAGGAATTGGCCGCCAGCAGGTAGGCTTCCTGTGGGACTGACACTGTTCCTTGTGACATCCTTTGGAATACAAGGTCCTAGGCCCCGAGTCACCACACCAGAGATTGTCAGCAGAGCGAACTTCAGGCTTTTCCTGAGTTCTGATCTTGAGAAGTACTCTCAGCTCCCTCAGAAGGATTGGAAAAGATTCATGAACTTTCATTTTATCCACCCACCGAAGTTATTCTTGACATATTAACTATTCAAAGCACACTGTGCTGATTGAACAAGGGAGTGATAAAGCTGACATCAAAGTTAACTGTAAGGACTCTACAAAAATGTATCTCATTATTGCCATTCACAAAAGTAAATGCCTGTTCTTAAGTCTTTTAAATTAAATGGACATTTGATTTCAGAGATACATCTGTGATAGAAGATGAGGCAGACTAGGCATCTGGAAAGTGCAGTGAAGGCTGGGGTGGGAGGGGTGGGAGGAAGCAAGGTATAAAGGGGGGAAATCTGTAGTACTTTCAACAATGAAGATAAATTTTTAAAAAAGCATAATTCTAATTTGTAGGTGATTGTGCTGTGTCCGTGTAATAATGTATAACGTGCAGACACCAAGACTTAGAGAATTCTGTCTCTATACTGAAGGAGGAACGAACTGAGGCCATTTTTATTTTAACATTAATTCTTCATCATTTCCACAGGGTATTTTTATTTCATATAGTTCATGCTTTTCAGAACTTATAATTCTCCTTAGGAAAAAAACAGTCACCTTGGAGAGGTAGAAACTTCACACAAAATCTCATGTGACTCTTTTGCTGGCCATGGAATATTTAAAATGAGTTCGCAGGAGGGGGCGAGTATTTTGCATTTTACTGTATTATGCTCAAGGTTAAATGAAATATCTAAAATGTGTTTGCGGTAAAGCACACCTGTTAACTCGCAGTGTCCTTGAATACCACTGAGTGTGACATTAGTTTCTCACACCTGTGGCTGAGGAAAAAATGTAACAACCCCGAGGTTGTGAAACCTACGTAATCCGGATAGTAACGGGAAGAAACGTGCAGAGTCCTGTTATGGATACTGCCCTGAAGGTTGAACTCTTTGTGGGAGCTTGTGCTTAATGAAAGACACAGCAGACAAATTAGACTCCAGATTTTTATTCATAGCAGTGCAATTCTTCTTTGTCATTATTTTGTGTGGTTCTCTCAGGACCGCAGGGTTTTGTTCTAAGTGTGTCTCTCTTGTAGATGGTGCATAGTTACATTGGCTTTTTGATTCAATAGGAGTAATTTTCTTTTCTTTTGAAAATGCAGACCTCTTTTAACATGACAGAAATGTTTGTTTTTTGTTCTATCACCATGTGTTGTGTTATGCTTTTTGTTTTTATTATGTACAAAATCTTTTATTTTATGTTTATTTCCAATGATTAACTTTATCTAATATACTGAATTCTCAATGTTTTTAGGCTTATATATTGACTCATTATAAACAAGAATGAATTTAAGATTTGTATACTTTCGCCCTCCTCTCTTACTTCCCTCTACTACCTGAATTTAAGTTGATTATATATTTTATTTTAACTATTTATATGTATACTTTAAATTCTTGCTTTATCCACTTTAAATATCTTTTGATTCCTTGGCTATGAAACATCAACTTACACTAACGGACCTTACCTCTTCCTTCTTTTATCAACAATTATGATTTTTATCATTTCTGTATTGTTAGGGATTAAGACCTTTACGTTCTAGTCTACAGTAAAAATTTTACTGTTTGTTTTTTTTCAGTCCTGGGATTAAATGGATTTCATGATCACAGGCATGCATTTTCCCATGGACAGCTAAAGCTGGTTCTCTTTCACTTTTTTGAGAAGAAGCTCAGGGAATGTATATTCATTGCATGTTCAGAAAAATTTGTCTTCTGCCTTTATACCTGGCCTGCATTTTGTCTGGATACATAAATCTTGCTTTGTTTTCTTTCTTAGAAGACTTTTATAGACACTGCTGCCTTTAGAGGGAACTATTAGATTCTTACGAAATTTAGGCTATACATATCAGACAACTGACCCGGAAATGCAACTTCTAAGTATTTAGCCAAGTGAAATGGAAACATATACCCACCAAAAGACTTGGATATATGTGTTCATAGAAGCTGTATTCACAAGAGCCAAAGACTAATGCAAACTCAAATGCGTGTCGGCGGGAAAATGGGTGAACAAGTCATAGTGGATTCAAGCAATGGAATATTACTTAGCAATTAAAAGGAATAAACCACTGATACATGCATCAATATGGATGAATTTTACAGACATTATTTGGAGCAAAAGAGAGCAAACATATGAATGGTCGAATACAGGTTTTGATGTCTTCCCAAGAATATTGCCCTAGAAATCCAAAGGCCTGGGTGTCAAGCCTTGGTGTATAACCAGCTAGTGCATAACCAAATTCCAAACTTTGGATTTTTTTCCTTTCATTGTCTATAAAAGGAGAAGTTTAGATTATACTATTTTCACTTTTTTTGCTATTCTAAAATCCAGAGGATTTAATCATTTGTAGCCTGAGTGAAAAATAATTGACTGACTTTTATTCCTTATAATGTGTGAGTTATAATCTCTAATGGCCTTCCAGTTTTAATGCAATAATTTCTAAACCATTGTGTAGAATTGTTACATTCTTCAAAAATGAAGAAGCCAGGGCTATTAGTGAATATGATCAAGTTACATCTAATTCACCAATCTGTTTTATTAATCACTTCCTGTTTCATTCTAATAATAGTCAAGCTTTTTTTATGTTTAGTTATTAATTCAACAAGTACATATTGAATATCTACCTTGGGATTATATACAGGCCCATAAATCTGTTTTATTATTGATTAGGAAATTGACTATTATACTTTATTTCTTCTTAATGAGATAACATATATGTAAAAGATGTCTATACTTTATAAATGAACTTTAAAGTACTCTGATTTATTTATTATCTCTACATGCTGAATTTTTCTTTCCTCAAGTGAGGTTTCTGTTCATCAATGAAATTGGGACTCATGGAGGATGTAGCTGTTGCGGGTGTGTGTGTGGGGGTGGGGTGGGGTGGGGTAAAGAATCGAACAGCAGCTATCGATGAGGATTTTAATGATGTATGGGCCACACACAAAGTCCTTTTTAAAGCCATAATTCAGATACAGGTTATGGCTACTTTGAAGAATTCTATTTACTTTCTAAAGGAAATTCACTTGATTCTAATAGTGTTCCACTATGGCCCAGTGGGTCTAAAAAATCCTGGATTTTAGTGCTGCTGCTGTTGTGCTCTGCAAAGCTTAGAGACACAGCACACTTCATTTTTCTCACTGCTAGTTGGACTAGAGAGCACCAATCCCAGAGTCCTGTTTGCCAAGCTCTAGAAGCTAATCCTCAAACAAGGCAACAAACAGAAGTCGCCATCCTGAATCGCAGGCTGGTCTAACAGAGAGGCTGCTCTGCAGGTCAGGAGTGTTTACTGTGATAATCAGAGCCTCATTTATAACTGTCTGAGGGTTACGGCACAGCTGTCTTTAATCCTGGTGCAGGCAATTGTGACATAAAATGAGAGGATCAGAGTTCTCTGTTCCTGGAGAGGACTAATTTTTCCGGGCTGACCTCCAAATCCTTTACAGAAGATTGAAAAGACCTTTGAGAAGATTGAAAAGACCTTTGGTGGGGGCCCCTTTCTCTGACAGAGGCATATCCTGTGGCACGGGGGACACTGGGGCCTGCTCTGAAGCTTTGGCTACTCCATTCGTGTGAACCTTCACCTCTCTGTCTGCGCATCTTGTGGCAGGTTGGCTGTTTCACAAGGGCAAAGACCTCGTCTTACACTCCGCTTCTCTCATTGGTCCTCACCCAGAAGCATGTACATCACAGGAGCTATTTAAAATTTTATTAACTGATATTTCCTACTAAACATTCTGCTTCTCCCTAAATACAAAAAACTTTACTTAGCATGTTTCTTAAAGATTTCTCAAAATAAGGAAAAGTTCTATCCACATCTTCCTAGGAAATAGTTCAGCAAGGAAGAAGAACTTCATGTCAAATAATTAGAGTCAAGCCCTCTTGGATTGGAGAGAATGACAGAGAAGCAGATGGCTCATGTGTCCCCAATCCTTCCCTTTCCCACAGCCTCACCCTTAGTCCTATGATTTTGAGGTTGCTCCTAATAGAAGTGGAGAGTATTTCCCATCCCATTGAAGTCATGAATTGCATTGACCAATGCACTATGGGCAGGAATGCCAGTATGCCAGTTCTGAGCTAGGTTTTAAGAAGCAGCATGATGTTTCCGTTCACTTCTTTGGCACCTGTGCCATTGCCAAGAGAATAAGCAATGAGACCATCTGATGGTTCCAGAGCAATGAGAGAATGTGATGCAAAAGGGCTCCGGTGACCTGCAGACCAGCAACTATGATTATATTTGCTTGTTCTTGTCTGCCACTGTATTTTAAGAGTGGTTTATGATCATGTTATTGTGATAATAACTGACTCATTCAGGCAAGAAACACAGAAGACAATATTATGCCCTGAGGTTCCTTTTAACAGAATTTTCTTTTAGATATGATACAAAGGTCAAGCAGATCAATAACTTTTTAGCATGTGATAAAGGCATTTTCTCCATGCCATGGTATTAAGGATTCATTTTTATTTAAGAGTTAGTGGTTGCATGACACCTTCTGAAACTTCCTAATTGTTTAGTTCACTCAAAAGCGGT